CAGGTAAGCAGAACATTTTTGCAAACTCATTTTATGAATGTAAAATCTGTGTCACAGTCCTGACTTAATTTATATTCTTTGATTTTTATTAATCTTTTTTATTTATTATTTTTATTTTATGTGTTTGAGTGTATTTCCCCTGGAACTGGAGTTATGGATGTTAGCTACCATGTGGGTGGGTCTTCTGTAAGAGTGACCAGTGCTCTTAACCACTGAGCCATCTCTCCAGCCCCAGTATTCTTTGTTTTTAAAATTATTTATTATTGTAGTGTGTGCCATGCTATGCATTTGGAGGTCAGAGAACAACTTTTCAGGAATTTGTTCTCTCCTTCCACCTTGTGGAAGCAGCATCTCTCTTGTTTCTATATTGCTGTTCACTCCAGGCTAGCTTCTGCCTCCCATCCGGCCATAGGAGTGCTGGTATTACAGGTGTGTGCTCCTAGATCATCTTTTTATGTGGGTTTCAGGGATCAAACTTTGGTCATAGGCTTGCACAGAGCAATTTTACCTGCTGAGCCATCTCTCCAACCCTGAGTATTAAGGAACTTTTATTCTCCCTTTCATTTTTAACACCCCAGATTTCAAGGGTGAAGTTTGTTCTCATCTTGTCCAGTCCTAACTAACTCTTACTTCTGCTTCTTCTGTTCTCCTGAACCTAGTCTTTGAAGATCACCAGGATCTCTTGATTCCTAGATCTTCCAGTTTTTCTCAGTAGTTGGTCTCTGCAACATGTGATCCTGTAGTGCACTCCTTATAACTTCACCTGGCCTTAGAAGCTTGTCCACTCTTGCCTTTCTCTTCCCTGCCGTAAGGACTCATTCTAACATGAGGAGCTCTCCCCTTCTCTCTGCACCCTGACCTGGTAAGTTGTTAGCTAATCACCTGGAAGGGAGTTCTCCAATCTAATTGGTTGGTTGTGACTGGTAGATACCACTACCTGGATTTCTGCACATTCAGGTAGCATCTAAAATACAAAACCAAGTTAAACTTGAAGGATTCTAGACTAGAGACCTGAAAATTACCTTTGATTGCTTTTTCTTTCTGGTTCCACTGACGCCCCCTTTACAAAGTCTTGCATCTGTCTTTTCTATTTCTAATTCAAGTCTTTTTTTTGTTGTACTTAACATAGCATATTATGATACATTTCTCTTTTTTTTTCTTTTTTTTTGTATTTTTGAGACAGAGTCTCACCATAACCCCAACTGGCCTGAAATGCACTATGTAGACCAAGTTAGCCTCAATTTCACAGAGATCCACCTGCTTCTGCCTACTGAGTGCTAGGATTATAGGCATGTGCCACCATGCCCAGAAAGAATATTATAATAAATTTCCAATTAATGTTTCAACATATTATATCTCTCTGTCTTCCTCATCTCCTTCAGAAAGAATACCTCAGGAGATTTCTATTTCCATTGCAAAAAGGCCCATACTTCCTAGCCTGACATTCATGATCTTCTAGAATTGAAGCTCATTTTCCAGTCCTGGTTAAAGCCAGTGTTTTGAAAGGGAATGTGTTTTATGTTTCTTTGACTTCTAAAAAGTACTATACTCAGAAGTTTGCATGTCACAGAAAGTGGATGATTTGTCTTCTTGGAATTTCCTTGCTCTTTACCTGTTTGGCTTGCTGGCTGCCACCTCAGCCAAAACACTAGTGCATACCACACACACACACACACACACACACACACACGCACAGTCTTCTGTTCATACCAGATTATAATCTCCATAAAGGGGTAATTCTTTTATATTTTACCTATTTCATAATTTAAGATCATACATAGCATCTAATAGAGTAGATTGTATGTAGTAGAGACTCAGAACTGGAAAAGCTTGTTGAATAATTTGTTTTCTAGGGTTGGTGGATGTGGAGTGGTGATGTACTACATTACAAAGAGCAGCTCAGAGTTTATGATCCACATGGATGTTATATATTCTTTCTAACAAATGAGAGAATCTGGATAGCGAGAAGCAAAATTTAGAGGGCACTATACTAGGAGTCCATTGCCCTTTGTACCCTTAAAACACATAAAGATGAAGATGTGTGGGGTGGAGAGAAGGCTCCGTGGCTAAGAGTGCTTGCTGCTCCTTCAGAGGTTCCCACCCCCCATGTTGGGCCACTCATAACCACCTGTAACTCCAGCTCCAGGGCATCCAACACCTTCTTCTGGCCTCCTCCAGCATATGCACAACACACACAAATAAATCAAAATAATAAATCTTGAAAAGATAAAGAGTCTTATATAATATGTGGTATTTTTAGTCAGTTTTAGTAATTAGAGTGGTTAAGACTTAACTGTGAACAATTTATAATTGTATTTTGAGAGTGGTGTTTTATCTGTAAACTATTTGTTTTTGCTCATTGTTGGTTTAATGGAAGACTTCTTCTAGTTCTGGTTTCATTTGGAGAACTAGCAGGCCTATTTCTCACGGGGCAGCCAGTCTAGCCAGTCAGTGAACTCTGGATTTAGTGAAAGACCCTGTCTCAAAAAACCACAAGATGGAGAGTGATAGAAGAAGACACCTGGCACCAACCTCTAGCCTGCACATGCACATGCATACTGTGCACTCAACATGCACACGCTCACAAACACACACACACACACACTATATATATATATATATATATATATATACACACATCCAGACATACATATACACAAAAGACTTGTTAAAAAGACTTTCTATAAGCTGGGACTGGTCATATATACCTGTAGCCCTAGCACTTGGGAGGTAGAAGGAAGAGGCTCTGAAGTTCAAGGTCATCCCTCAGCTACATAGTGAAATTGAGACCAGTTAAGTTACATGAAACCCTGTCTCAAAAATACAAAGAGTTTTTATGGCTTTATTGTTTTTTATTTCATAGAAATTTGGTTGGAGAAATCACTGCTGTGCTTAAACTAAACCAAAATAGTACCTAGTCAGTTTGCATGATTAAGTGTACCCATCAAAGCCAGGCCTAGGTCACAGAACTTGTTCCTGCATTTTTTCTAAGTATCAAGTTTTAAACAAGATCATTTTATGCTGTTCTATATATTTAATATCTTAATACAAAAATATGTGTGTTTTTTTTTTTTGCTTGTTTGCTTAAGTTAAATTAAAATCTTTGTATATAAGTCATAGTATGAAGTAAGCAAGAGGACTGTCTTAGAGTTCAGGGTAAGCACAGAAAAGAGAAAAAAATCAAAGGGCCTGATATTTATATTGTATGGTACCCTTAAGAAACTGCCATCAGCTGGGTGTGGTGGCCTATGCCTTTAATCCCAACACTCTGGAGGCAGAGGCAGACCAATCTCTGTGAGTTCGAGGCTAGCCTGGTCCACAATGTGAGTTCCAGACCAGCTGGGGCTACAGAACAACCCTTTCTCAAAAAGACAAGAGAGAGAGAGAGAGAGAGAGAGAGAGAGAGAGAGAGAGAGAGAGAGAGAGCGCATTGGGAGTAAGGGTCTGGGGAGGTATGTAATAATTTCGAGACCTGGATCTACATGCCCGTACAGTCTTGATAGGATTAAAATGTATCTCTCAACTCTCACCAGAGAAGTTTTATTATGCAGCAGATGTTGATTAACACAGAAACCCACAACAGGTAAACATGCAGAAAACAAGAGACTGCAGAGTGCTTATCCGTGAATAGAGTACCTATATCAAACTTCCACCTCCCAAGGCTCAGAAGTCATTGCTGAAGACAAGTCAGAAAGATTTTAAGAGCCAGAGGTGGTGGATCACTGCAAGGACATAGTTTTCTAGACAGCTAGTCAGTTGCTCATGAAGTCATAGCAGTGGTGACAGCATGCACAAGTCTCATGCAAGCTCAAAAAAGACAAAATCCTAGCATAGACAAGGAGAAGTGGGTAAGAAACCCCAACCCTCCCTGAGGAACTGTTGGAAACTGATGACTCTTAGGAGAGGGAGGATCCATCCGTTTCAAGGTTGTGACCTTGGTAGGTTAACCAGGCTCCAGTCAATGGACCCACACTGAAAAACTTTTGGGGACACAAATTAGATTCTATAGGCCTTTATATATATATATAATTGAGTGTCGTTAGTAAGGGGATGTGTAGAGAGGGGAAGAGGTCTCAATACCATCAAATTACATTGTATGGATATCACAAAAATTCAATTAAAAAAGTCCTTAAGACCAAGGGTACATGTTACATTTGAAAAATAAATAAATGAATATAATGGAACCCCCCAAAACATGATAGATGATTGACAGATAGCAGGTAGGTAGATAGATGAATGGATGGATAGATTAGATAGATGATAGATAGATAGATAGATAGATAGATAGATGATAGATAGATAGATAGATGATAGATAGATAGATGATAGGTGATAGATGATGATAGATAGATGATAGATGATGATGATAGATGATTGACAGATATATGAGATAGGTAGATGATAGATGATAGTTAGATAGATAGATAGATACATAGATTGATAGATGATAGATAGATAGATAGATAGATAGATAGATAGATAGATAGATAGATAGATAGATAGATAGATAGATAGATAGATAGATAGATAGATAGATA